TATATTATATTATATACAGTATCTATTATTTATTTTTTAATAATATAGTTATTTTTTTGAAAAACTTAACCAATTGAAGAAATATATTTTTAAAATAATTTTTTTAATTATTAATAATATATGATTAAAATATATGAGTATGATTAATATAAGTTTATTTATATTTTAAAAATTTATAGATTTTATATTAATTAATTATTTTTAATAAAAATTATATTATTTAAAATTTATGATAAAATTGTAATAGATAAAATTTTTTAAAAAACTGTAAAAATATGGGATCTAAGAAAGTTATAATAATTGATAATAAAAAAAATAAAATCTTTTATTACAAAAAAAAAACTTTATAATAACATATTTTAAAAATAGAAAATTTTTTATATATTTTATAATTAATTTTTTTTTAAAAAAAAAACTTTTTTTTGCTATTATTTATAAAGATATTTTTTATTTTTTTTTGATTATCAAAAATTAAGTTTTAATCAAAAATATTTGTAAACAAGAAAGAAAATATAGTTATAACTTTTGAAAATACTTTTATATTGTTTTAAGAATAATATTAAAACTTTATTAACTAAAAAATTAAATCTTTAGCAAATATTTTTTTTATATGTAATCAAAAAATTAATGAAAAGAATTTTTTATTATACAGTTACTTCTAAAAGTTTGAGTTTACTTTCTATAATTTTATTATAAATTTTAACTTTAACAATTTTTAAATAATTAATTATACTGTATAGTCAAAAATTATAAAATTTATATATATTATATTTTAATACGTATTTTATTTCTTATATTTTTTAAAATCTTTTTTATTAATATATTTTAGAGTTTTGTTATTATTAAATATTTTTATTTTTTTATTAATTATAATATAATTTATAATAACTACTAATCAAAATCCTCCAAAAAGAAAAATTATATAAAGAAAAAAAATTTTTAACAATAATAAAATTTTAAAAATTACATATAAAAATTTTTGAAAAAAATTTAATAAATAAAACTAGTATTAAAATATAATATATATAAATTTTATAATTTTTAGTTGTATAATTAAGGATTTAAAAATCATTAAAGTTAAAATTTATAATATAAATATAGTAAATGAATTCAAACTTTTGAAAGCAACTATATAAATTAATATATTCAACTTTTTTTTTTTTTAAACTGCAACTGGTATTAAATGCAAGTACTTTTATTAAGAATTAACTTAATATCTTTGATAATAAAATTCTAGATATGATATCAATCATCTTATATAAACTATATATTTCTATATATATGCAAATTAATGATAACTTATCGTAATTTTTCTAAATAAACTTATTACTACTCTATAAATAAGGCAGATCCAACTAGGAGTCAAATAATTAATACATAGTTATCGATGGTGAAATAGGCTAATTTAGTATTGAACTTTTTATAAATTTTTATATTATATTTATTAAACTAATTTGTATAGTATGTACTTGATAGGATTTGATTTTACTTTCCAATACTTTTAGATATTATTTATTCAAACTTCAAAAGAAGACACTTTATATTTTTTGTCACCACTTGTGACATCAGATTAGTCCTATTTGATTGATTTTTATTTAAGTGAAACATTATATTGGGATATTTTAAGCTAAAAGGGTGGGAGTTCTGAAAATTGACAGGGTAAAGTGTCTTTGGGGTATTTATAGTGGGCTAGATCAGAAGCCTTTCTTCATATAATCCTTTCAATAGTACAACTGTAGATCTTAGTTTTTGATTAATAGAAGACCAAAAGTCTCATTTTTATATAGTCTAACCTGATTAAAGCTTATTCTGGATAGTTGGATATGACTTTTATAAGATAATAGATAAACTTGATCAGAAGAGTAATTTTGATTTTTAGTCCTTAAGTGATATTGAACTATAGATTTTGTAATTGCAACTTGGGAACACCATCACTGTACATTAATCTACAGGTCTTAATATATTTAACTTTTTTAATTTGTTATTACAATAAAATTTATTAATATAAAAAAATTTTTTTTATTAATTTTTTAATCATATATAAAAAGATATTTATAAAAAGTTTTTTTTTATTTTTTTTTTGTTAATAAAATTTTAATATCTTTCTTAAAACAATTTAAAGTAGAATTTTAAAAATCATTTTTATTTTATTTTTTTTTATTTATAAAAATTTTTACTCAAAAACTTGATTTCTAATATTTAAGTAAAATATTTGATATCAATAATAAAAAAGTTTTTAAAGTGAGAAAAATTGATTATAAAATATTAAAGACTTTTTTAATCTTGAAAACAAGAATTATAAAAATTTTTTATAGTTGAAATACTCCTTTTTTATTTATTTTGATACTTTTAAAACTTTTATTTTTATATTTTTTTAAAATATTTTATTTATCTTAGTTTGATTCTAAATTTTGTGTAATATAAATTCTTATCAAAAATAATTAATTAATACAAAATATATTAATCTTTTGATTATACTTACAATTGCTTTCAAAAGTTTGAGTCCACTTACTATTTTTTATTATAAATTTCAACTTTGACAATTTTTAAATTCTTAATTATACAATCAAAAATTATGAAATTTATATATATTATATCTTAATACTAGTTCTATTTATTATAATTTTTTCAAAAAAAAAATTTATATGTAATTTTTAAAGTTTTATTATTGTTGAAAATTTTCTTTCTTTATTAAATTTTTTATTTTTGGAAGATTTTGATTGACTGTTATTATAAATCATATGACAATTAATAAAAAAATAAAGATATTTAGCAATAATAAAACTTTAGAATGTATTAATAAAAATTTTTTTAAAAAAATGTAAGAAATAAAATAAGTATTAAAATATAATATACTGTATATAAATTTTATAATTTTTGATTGTATAGTTAATGATTTAAAAATTGTTAAAGTGAAAATTTATAATAAAAACATAGTAAGTGGACTCAAACTTTTGGAAGCAACCATATATGTTCCTATGATATTAGTAATGATTAAAAAAGAAGTTTCAAAAATTGATTTTTTTTGAAAGTTTTAAGTTCTCAAGAAAAACATTCAAAAAATTAAAAATAAAAGATAAAAATATAAATTGTAAAATTCTATTTTAAATTAATTATTCAAGTAACAAAAAAGTTTCTCTTATTAGAAATTAAAATTTTTGTATTTTATTTGAGCTATTTTAATCTAATACCTATTTAAATAATAAATTTAGTTAAATTAATTTATTTGTTATTACTAGTAATAATAAAAAAAATTTTTTCTACAGTAATAACATGTAGGCAATGATTTTATTAATTAGAGGAATTATTTAAATTAGTAAAGAAACAAAATATCATTTCCTAGGTTGCATTTAGAGAAATAGCTTTTCGATGACAAGTGAATTAGTATGTGAAAGTCACAATAATTTGTAAATACTTAGCATATATACAATAAAGACATGTCATGCTGACCTGACTACAGATTAATAATAAAAATAAATAAATAAATAAATAATAATAATAATAATAATAATAAAATTTTTTTAAGAATTCAAGTAAAAATAAAAAAAATATTTTAATCAAATAAATTCTTTTTAAAAAGAAATTATTCAATTGATAACTTTTTTGAAAAAGCTTGAATTATATTATATTTTTTTTTTCATTTTTTTTCATTTTCCTTATTAACTTAGCAATTTAATTTTTGAACAATTAATAGTAACAAATTGTTGATAAATTGTTTTTAAAATTTGACTTAAAATACTTTGATACTATGATAAGTTGATCATTATATGAAAACTTCTCAATAATGATCAAACTTTGTGAGATAATTAATTCTAATTTGCAATAATATGAAAATCTGTGCTAGTTTGATGCTATAAATATTTACAATTCTATTTTTAATTAAAGAATATTAAGGTTATGTTACATTCTGATAATAAATATTTATTTATCAATTAAAAATTAATCGCTAAGGAAAAAATGGTCATGAAATAGTTGGGTAATACTTCGACCCCGTCATGATGTCATCACGAACTCACTTTTCTATTCTTGCGATCAGAAGTTTTTCTTCTCCTACACTCCTACATCACTCGCAAACGCTAAAGTTTCCATTTCTTATTCGACACATTAAAGAACTTATTCGATATACCACCACGCGCTCAGGGGTATTTCAAACTGATTGACCAAATCATTTCATCCGTATATAGAAATATGTATGCAGTTCGGAACTGCAGTGTTCTCAAATCGATGAAAAAAAAAAAAAAAAAGAAGACTACCATTAAAATATTTTCGGGTGCTACAAATTATATAAAATGCATATCTCTACATCTATTAATTCATTCCAGTATAGTCATATGCAAATATGCAACATTACACAAACATTACTTTATCTAATAAGATAAAGTTAAGATAGGGTATGCGGTACTTCATATAAGTACGTAAAAGAGATGTTCATTATACGTATGATGCATACGGTAAATGTAACCCCCTTTTTTTTTTGCACTGCCTCAAAGGAACAGGGCACCAAGAAAAAAATTTTTTAGCACACAGACAGGAGAACAGATACCAAATTTGTCATTGGTATACTGTTTTTGTCTCACTTGACTTTTTGTCAACTGTACGCACAGGTGCGTCTTCTAAAAAAAAAAAAAAATTTATTAAGCCTCTGAAATTATCGAAAATTTTTTTTGTGATCCCGTTTTCTTTTACCAAAAAATTCTTTTACATGCACTCACAGGAAACGCCATTTTTTGGTGCGTTTCTTTCACAACAGATTTATCGTTTCATTAATATCTCATCATCAAAATCAAGTTTGTTAAATTATACACCATAAAAGATAATAGAAAAGTGTAAAAGAGATCATTTGTATTATTATTACAAACCACCAAATACTTGAATGTAGAATAGCAACCTCATTAATAAAGACTCCTTAACAACTAATTTTTGGAAATATAAACATCTTTGTAATATCATCCTAAATTCATATTCATAACTCACAGAGTATATATTTTTATCAAAAAAAAATGGTTCAAAGACAACCACCGAGACAAGAACAGAACATATATTCTCCTTACTATTATCCGAGTTTTTCGCGTTATAACTATCCTTCAAAAATTGGTGGTGATGAGGAAGTTTATACGGAGCCTAAATTTACTTTTCCGCGTTGGGATGAAGAAGCCGCTGATTGTGCAACCCCGGTAACTCCACGTCTCCGTAGAGCCTCTCTATCCGATCTCTCCGAAGACTTGGATTATTTTAATAGAGAAACAAAAACTCCTTTACAAACATCGACAACCAATAATCCCGAGGTTGAACAAGAAATTGAACAAGAAGATGAAGGAGAAACAAATTGTGAAAAAATTCAAGTAGATATCGAGTTGGCGCGTCGTGATCAAAAGACCGACTATGACCAATTTCGCAAGGTTTACGCAAATTTAAACGATGACATTCGCGCTCTACAACGTGAAATCGAAGAAATTGAAGCTGCTTGTATGGCTAGAGGTTGGGATTTATCAAAAGATACAGATGAAATTGTTCTAGAATCGGAATCGACTCCATTATCTGATCAATGTACATTGCCGTCTTTTGGTCAACAATGTAGTAAAAAAAATAGAATGAATCGATCTGGGAGTTTCAGTATCAGTAGCACAAGTGGCAATGGTTCAACCAAAGGCCGATGCTTAGGCTTAGAAGATGGTTGGACGCAGGAAAGAGTGCACCGAAATGAGTGGATCCGGTGCTGACTTCATCAAAACAATCAATGCTTTAGATAAGAGCCTTCGCATATTACACGCATATTTCCGAAATTAATTATTCCTTGAACAAACAAGTAAGAGTGGATGTTTAACCAACCGACAATCGACTTGTCTTTGCGTTAATCATGAAAATTATTACGTACACACCTCGTACGCATTTATGTAATTATGTATACAATTTTGAAATTCCTTTTTATTCTCTTCTTCCCTGTACATATATATATAAACACCGTCATTTTATTTCTCTCCCCTTCTTCGTACATAAATTTCATACTATCCAAGGATTTCTCGTACATATAAACACCTATTTCTCATATTTCTCCATCCTTTACATTTTTTCTGAGCTTCATGCTTCTTCAGAAAGATTTATTTGTAAATAAAATATTCTTTTTTTCTTTTTGCGAACTTTAAATGATTGACGAGTTCCGAATCAACAATTTCAGAGAAAATAAAGATATTTTTGTTCAACTCCAGTAAATACTATGTATTTTATGGTGGTTCGATCTTCACGATTCGATGGGTCATAATTATACTGGATTTTCGAAAATGCTTTGCTTCAATAGATTCTAAAAATAAAAATGCTGACAAATTTTTAAGGATATTTATCGATTTTTTTAGACTGTAAAAAGATAGAAATTTTATAGATGATAGAATTGATTTTTTAAAAAAATCAGATTGTATTTTTTTTAAGTTATTCCTTGTTATACTTAAAAAATATCAATATATAATAAATACGTATATACTGTATTAAGTGATTTGTAAAAAAAAAATTTAATTTTTTTATTTTTAATTCACAATTATGCAATCATGATTTATACATAACTAACTCATTATATTACTTAAAAATATGTGAACCTAGTTTAGATTAAACAAGTTAAAATTTCAATTTGATATCTTAAGTTAGACTTGAAAATTTTTTCATTAGTTTTATATAATAGTATTAAATCAAAAAATTATTATTTATAACTTGTCGCTATAGAATTTTTTAATTTATATAATAAAGTTTTATCATTTTCAAATAAAAATTTCTAATTCAAATAAATTTATTGAAAGAGAATTGCAAGTTTAAATTATAATTATTTAAAAAAATTATCAATTTGACTATACAAAATTTCAATATAATATTCTCTATTTCAAAAAATATTAAGGTTTAAATATTAAAAATAAATAAATAAAAATCAATTCAAAAATTATTTTTTTTTGAATATAAATAGTTAATTATATTTTATTAATAATAAAGTAAAATATATTATATAAACAATTTATAAAATTATATATCTAAAGTTAAACAAATGATCCTCTGACCACACATAAAAAAGACTTACGAAAAAGCTCCTCTAGCTTTTCTGTTAGCAATAGTCTTACCACTCTCTTTAAACCACCTTGAGAAGTCTCTCAGGAGTCATTCCTATCCCCTCCCTCTT